CAGCATGTATCATTAAGAGCCACATCCACTGTTTTAGTGTGGTGAGATGTGTTCCACACTGGGCATGCATACTCAGCAGCAGAGTAGCATAGCGCAAGGGCAGATGTCTTCACTGTATCTGGTTGTGATCCCCAGGTTGTGCCAGTCAGCTTTCGTATGATATTGTTTCTAGCATCCACTTTTTGCTTGATGTTCAGGCAGTGCTTCTTGTAGGTCAGAGCACGGTCCAGAGTGACTCCCAGGTATTTGGGTGCGCTGCAATGCTCCAGTGGGATTCCTTCCCAGGTAATAATCCTCAGAGCTCGGGATGCTTGTCTGTTCTTAAGGTGAAAGGCACATGTCTGTGTTTTAGATGGATTAGGGATCAGCTGGTTTTCCCTGTAATAGGCAGTAAGAGCACCTAGAGCTTCGGAGAGCTTCTGTTCAACCATCTCAAAGCTCCCTGCTTGAGCGGTGATGGCACGATCATCAGCATAGATGAAGCTCTCTGTCCCTTCTGTTCCACTGCTGAACGGCTCTCACAGTCAGGAAGTTCTTCCTCATGTTCAGATGGAATCTCCTCTCTTGTAGTTTGAAGCCATTGTGTCCTACTCTTGATGTATGGCAAGAACACTTTTCCTCTGGGTGGATCTTTGTCTTGACTCTCGTGGCTTTTTCTCAGTCTTGCAGCTCTTCTGATGTCTGACTTCTGGCTACCAGTATTTTTTAAAAAAACTCTAAAATTAGAACAGCACAACAACAGAGAGGAAACAAGCAAGGACATCTAATCACCTCTCAACAAAAGATTGCTCCAGGCACTGCCAGGCTATCAAATGCTAATCAAGGTGGTCAGTTGAAACATTCACACCTAGCTCCAGCAGACAAGAGTCCTTTGTCCCACCCTGGTCTTTCCACAGATATATAAACCCATTTTCCTAGTTCCAACAGACCTCACTACCTCTGAGGATGCTTGCCACAGATGCAGGCGAAACGTCAGGAGAGAATGATTCGTGGCTTTTTCTTAGTCTTGGAGCTCTCCTGATGTCTGACTTCTGGCTGCCAGTATTAAAAAACTCTCCTCTCAGCCTTCTCTTCTTCAGGCTAAACATGCCCAGCTCCTTAAGCCGCTCCTCATAGGGCTTGTTCTCCAGACCCTTGATCTGCTCCCCCCTCCCTGTGGCTTCCTCTCACAAGCTGGAATGTGTCCAGAGGGTGGCTAAAATGATTAAGGGTTAGAGAACAAGCCCTATGAGGAGGGGCTTAAGGAGCTGGGCATGTTTAGCCTGAAGAAGAGAAGGCTGAGAGGAGATATGATAGCCATGTAGAAATACGTGAGAGGAAGCCACAGGGAGGAGGAGGGAGAAAGCTTCCTTTCTGCTTCCATGGAGACTAGGACGCAATGGAAGAATGGCTTCAAACTCCAAGAGAGGAGATTCCATCTGAACACGAGGAAGAACTTCCTGGCTGTGAGAGCCGTTCAGCAGTGGAACTCTCTGCCCCGGAGTGTGGTGGAGACTCCTTCCCACAATTCCTAGAAGCCAGTCAGGAAGCACATTTAACAGACAGGTTAACTGTATTTTAATCACATAATAGTCGCACCCCCATTTTTTTTGGGTGGTAACATTAGTATTGTTGTGTTCCTCGTATAAGAGTCACCCAGACATTTAGGCCTCATTCTTTCCAAATTAAAATTAGATTTGAAGGTCTAACACAGGGATGGGCCAACTTGGGCCCTCCAGGGGTTTTGGACTCCAACTCCCACAATTCCTAGCAGCTGGTTAGAAAGCACATTTAATAGACAGGTTAACTGTATTTCATCACATAATAGTCGCGCCACGGATTTTTTTGGGTGGTAACATTGGTGTTTTTGTGTTCCTCGCATAAGAGTCGTACAGCCATTTAGGACTCTTTCCTTCCAATTTAAAATTAGATTTGAAGGTCTAACACAGATATAGGCCAACTTGGGCCCTCCAGGTGTTTTGGACTCCAACTCCCACAGTTCCTAGCAGCCGGTTAGGAAGCACATTTAACAGGTTATTTCATCACATAATAGTCGCACCCCCATTTTTTTGCTTGGCAACATTGATATTTTTGTGTTCCTTGCATAAGAGTCGCACAGCCATTTAGGACTCTTTCTTTCCAATTTAAAATTAGATTTGAAGGTCTAACACAGGTATGGGCCAACTTGAGCCCTCCAGGTGTTTTGGATTCCAGCTCCCACAATTCCTAGAAGCCAGTCAGGAAGCACATTTAACAGACAGGTTAACTGTATTTCATCACATAATAGTTGCACACCGGATTTTTTGGGGTGGCCACATTTAACAGACAGGTTAACTATATTTCATCACATAATAGTCGCACCCCTAATTGTTTGGGGTGGCCACATTGGTATTTTTGTGTTCCTCGCATAAGAGTCGCACAGCCATTTAGGACTCTTTCTTTCCAATTTAAAATTAGATTTGAAGGTCTAACACAGGTATGGGCCAACTTGGGCCCTCCAGGTGTTTTGGACTCCAACTCCCACAATTCCTAGAAGCCGGTGAGGAAGCACATTTAACAGACAGGTTAACTGTATTTCAGTGCATAATAGTCGCAACCCCGGATTTTTTTGAGGTGGCAACATTGGTGTTTTTGTGTTCCTCGCATAAGAGTCACCCAGACATTTAGGACTCTTTCCCTCCAATTTAAAATTAGATTTGAAGGTCTAACAGAGGTATGGGCCAACTTGAGCCCTCCAGGTGTTTTGGACTCCAACTCCCACAATTCCTAGAAGCCAGTCAGGAAGCACATTTAACAGACAGGTTAACTGTATTTTAATCACATAATAGTCGCACCCCCGATTTTTGTGGTATTTTTGTGGAAGCACATTTAACTGACAGGTTAACTGTATTTCATCACATAATAGTCACACCCCCAATTTTTGGGGGTGGCCACATTGGTATTTTTGTGTTCCTCGCATAAGAGTCGCACAGCCATTTAGGACTCTTTCCTTCCAATTTAAAATTAAATTTGAAGGTCTAACAGAGGTATGGGCCAACTTGAGCCCTCCAGGTGTTTTGGACTCCAACTCCCACCATTCCTAGAAGCCAGTCAGGAAGCACATTTAACAGACAGGTTAACTGTATTTTAATCACATAATAGTCGCACCCCCGATTTTTGTGGTATTTTTGTGGAAGAACATTTAACAGAAAGGTTAACTGTATTTCATCACATAATAGTCGCACCCTGATTTTTTTGAGGTGGCAACATTGGTATTTTTGTGTTCCTTACATAAGAGTCGCACAGTCATTTAGGACTCTTTCCTTCCAATTTAAAATTAGATTTGAAGGTCTAACACAAATATGGGCCAACTTGAGCCCTCCAGGTGTCTTAGACTCCATATCCCGTGATTCTTAACAGGCTACCAGGTGTTAGGAATTGTGGGAGTTGGAATCCAAAACACCTGGAGGGCCCAAGTTGGCCCGTGCCTGTGTTACAAACTGGGAGGAGGATGAGGATGCATCTGGAGCTCCTTTTCCAGCAAAAGCAAGAGGCCGGATGTTAGCACACTTTGCAGGAGCAGACCTTGGCCATCCAAGGCAACGGCTTCTTCTCTTCTGCCGGAGAGAAAGAAAGAGAATAGCGTTACAAGCTTGGTAGATGCAGGGAATGCTGTGGATGGAGGGAAAACCAGCTGATCCCTAATCATATACCATATATATAATATCACAAAGGACGACCACATCACCCGCTAATAGGAAACCTGCTACAAAACAGGAGCTTTTTTGTTGAGTTCCAGGTCCAAAGAAGTAGATGGCGGAAATAGAAGAACGGCCGGCCTCAGGGGAGCATGCGTGCTCCATCCATGTTCAACATCTACACAAATGACCAGCCACTGCCAGAAGGGACAGAGAGCGTCATCTATGCTGATGATTGTGCCATCACCGCTCAAGCAGGGAGCTTTGAGATGGTAGAACGGAAGTTCTCCGAAGCTCTAGGTGCTCTTACTGCCTCTTACAGGGAAAACCAGCTGATCCCTAATCATATATCATATATATAATATCACCAAAATCTGGACGAAAGCAAGAGTCATCACCATCTTGAAGCCAGGCAAAGACCGTAATGACCCAAAAAGTTACAGACCAATCTCCCTGTTGTGCCACCTCTACAAAGTTCTGGAGAGACTTATTTTGCATGGAATTACGGAAAAAATAGACCCTGTCTGATCCCACAGCAAGCTGGCTTCAGGAAAGGCAAAAGCTGCACATTGCAAGTGCTGAACCTGACTCAGCACATAGAAGATGGCTTTGAAAGGCAGCAGATCACAGGAGCTGTCTTCATAGACCTGTCAGCAGCCTATGAGACTGTGAACCACCGCCTCCTCCTGAGAAAAATGTATAGTATCACAAAGGACGACCACCTCACCGGCCTCATAGGAAACCTGCTACAAAACAGGAGCTTTTTTGTTGAGTTCCAGGGCCAGAGAAGCAGATGGCGGAAACAGAAGAACGGCCTGCCTCAGGGGAGCGTGCTTGCTCCATCCATGTTCAACATCTACACAAATGACCAGCCACTGCCAGAACGGACAGAGAGCTTCATCTATGCTGATGATCGTGCCATCACCGCTCAAGCAGGGAGCTTTGAGATGGTTAAACAGAAGCTCTCTGACGCTCTAGGTGCTCTTACTGCCTATGACAGGGAAAACCAGCTGATCCCTGTACAGAAGTTGATTATAAATTGTATGACTTTAACTGTATTGGTGTTTAGATTGGCTGCAGTAATGCTGGAGCGGCCTAAGTCAGAGGAGTGCGTTGCCATGGAGACGATGCTGTAGAGAGAGAAGTGGGAGGAGCTTAGAGGGGAGAGTTTGAAAAACGACAGTTATGTTCAGTTAGGGTTTTGGAGTCGGAGTTAGCAGTTGAGAGAGAGAGAGTGGGAAGTAGAGAAGCAGTGTTTGTGAATAGTCAGAGGTTTCTTCAGTTTAGGAAGGCTGAAGGGGAAACCTAATTAGTTTCATTAGTTAGAGAGGACTAAGAGAAGCTTGTTTAGATCACTAGTTAGAAATGAACTAGAGATCTGGGGTTTGATCACGGAAGGATCAAACAGGAAGGCTATTCACCTCAGGAAACATTGTTTAAGAAAGTGCTTCACCACAGTAAAAGTCAATTACAAGTTGTAACATCCAGAAGTGTGAACTGTATTGCAACCAAGTTACATGTAAAGTTCTCAAAGTATTTCCAAGTTTATCAACAGCCTGCAACCATACGCTTTGTTCAAAATAAACTTGTTCTCTTTTGTTTGAAGACTGCCTCATCTCCATTAATTCTGCGTCCAGTGTGCCATATCTCCCAATAATACCTCACATCACACATTGGTGGCACCATTAAGAGTAATAAATAATAAATCGTCCCTCCTCTCTCCTAATCCATCTAAAACACAGACATGTCTTTTTCACCTTAAGAACAGACAAGCATCCTGAGCTCTGGGGATTATTACTGGGAAGGAATCCCACTGGAGCATTGCAGCGCACCCAAATACCTGGGAGTCACTCTGGACCGTGCTCTGACCTACAAGAAGCACTGCCCGAATATCAAGCAAAAAGTGGGTGCTAGAAACAATATCATACGAAAGCTGACTGGCACAACCTGGGGATCACAACCAGACACAGTGAAGACATCTGCCCTTGCACTATGCTACTCTGCTGCTGAGTACGCACGCTAAAAGAGTGGATGTGGCTCTTAATGAGACATGCTGCATTATACTTAGATGAAGGGTTAGAACAGTGTTTCTCAACCTGGGGGTCGGGACCCCTGGAGGGGTCGCAAGGGGGTATCAGAGGGGTCGCCAAAGACCATCAGGAAACACAGTATTTTTCTGTTGCTCATGGGGGTTACATGTGGGAAGTTTGGCCCAATTCTATCGTTGGTGGAGTTCAGTTTGCTCTTTGATTGTAGGTGAACTATAAATCCCAGCAACCACAACTCCCAAATGTCAAGGTTTATTTTCCTAAACTCCACCAGTGTTCACATATGGGCATATTGAGTTTTCATGCCAAGTTTGGTCCAGATCCATAACTGTTTGAGTCCACAATGCTCTCTGGATGTAGCTGAACTACAACTCCAAAACTCAAGGTCAATGCACACCAAACCCTTCCAGTATTTTCTGTTGGTATTTGGGAGCTATGTGTGCCAAGATTGGTTCAATTCCATTGTTGGTTGAGTTCATAATGCTCTTTGATTGCCAGTGAACCATAAATCCCAGAAACTACAACTTCCAAATGACAAAATCATCCCCCCACCTCACCCTACCATTATTCAAATTTGGGCATATTGGGTATTTGTGCCAAATTTAGTCCAGAGAATGAAAACACATCCTGCATATCAGATACTTACATTATGATTCATAACAGTATTACAGTTATTAAAGTAGTAACGAAAATATTTTATAGTTGGGGGTCACCAGAACATGAGGAACGGTATTAAGGGGTCGCAGCATTAGGAAGGTTGAGAAACACTGGGTTAGAAGGTAGGATCATCAAGTTTGCAGACGACACCAAATGGGGAGGGAGAGCCAAGACTCCAGAGGACAGGAGCAGGACTCAAAGGGATCTTGACAGATTAGAGAGATGAAGGGCCAAAACTAACAAAATGAAGTTCAACGGGGACAAATGCAAGAGACTCCACTTTGGCAGGAAAAATGAAATGCAAAGAGACAGAATGGGGGACGATGAGGCCTGGCTCGAGAGCAGGACGTGTGGAAAAGATCTTGGAGTCCTCGTGGGGAGGAAGGGGAACATGAGCCAGGAATGTGATGTGGCGGCAAAAAAAGCCAATGGGATTTTGGCCTGCATCAAGAGGAGCCTAGAGTCCAGGGTCCAGATTTAGGGAAGTCCTGATGCCACTCTCTTCTGCCCAGGTCAGACATCTTCACCTAGAATCTCTCTGTGTCCAATTCTGGGCAACACGGTTCAAAAGAGAGATTGATTCTAAGTTGGAAGAGGTTCAGAAGAAGAGGGCAACTCAAAGGATCAAAGGTCTGGAGACCATGAATCATCCCTCTGAGGAGCGTCTTAGAGAAGAGAAGTTTGAGAGGAGACACGAGAGCCTTGTACACATATGTGAAAGGGTGTCATAACAACGAGGGAGCGGGATTCTTTTCTGCTGCCCTGGAAACTAGAACTCAATAGAGCCATGGGTTCAAATGGCAGGAAAGGAGATTCCATTGAACACGAGGAAGAACTTCCTGACCATGAGAAAGGCTGTTCAGCAGTGGAACTCTCTGCCTCGGCATCTGGTGGAAGTTCCTTTCTTAGAAGCTTTTAAATAGAGGCTGGATAGCCATCTGCCAGGGTAGCTTTCCTGGTGCTTTCCTGCATGAAGTCAGAAGGGGGTTGGACTAGATGTCCCATGTGGTCGCTTCCAGCACTATGATTCTTTGACTCACCTGCGCAGTCCGGCTCATCCAGCTTCCTTCGCAGATTGGTCCCGGCTGCGGAGGAGGCCCCCTCCTCCCCCTCGGAGGATAAGCCGCTGCTGTGCTCACGCTTGGACCCTATAGAGGAGAAAGACATGCACAAGAAGTGGAAAAAGGGAGAAATCACCAAAGAAGAATTCAAACAAATAACCAACACCTGTAGGGAAAAGGATCCGCAAGGCTAAAGCACAAAACTATTAGGACAAGGAACAATGGCTTCAAACTACAAGAAAGGAGATTCCATCTGAACATGAGGAAGAACTTCCTGACTGTGAGAGCCGTTCAGCAGTGAAACTCTCTGCCCCGGAGTGTGGTGGAGGCTCCTTCTTTGGAAGCTTTGAAACAGAGGCTGGATGGCCATCTGTCAGGGGTGATTTGAATGCAATATTCCTGCTTCTTGGCAGAATGGGGTTGGACTGGATGAACGCCCAGGAGGTCTCTTCCAACTCTTTGATTCTAGGATTCTATGATTCTAACGTGATGTTATAGCTGTAAGTGGTATTGTTTATGTTTTAATTGCTTTTCACCTCATTTAGATTTGTACCCAAATGTTATTTAATTGTTGAATTGTTCAAGGCATTGAATTTTGCCTCTGCGGTAAGCCATCTTGAGTCCCCTTCGGGATGAAGCAGGGCGGGATATCAATATAGTAAACAAGTAAATAAACAAACTTGTAGAACAGGGCTGGACTGGATGGCCTTTGGGGCTCCCTTCCAAATCCATGATGCCGTATCACAGTCTCTCACCTCCACAAAGAGCTTAAACCTACAATGCTGAGGAGCCACCAAAAGCCCTCCCTCCAAGGACATTTTCCCCTTCCTTCTTTCCTTCCCCTTTTTGTCCCTTCCTTCCTTCCTCCCTTCTTTCCTTCCTCTCTCCCCCTCTCCCTCCCTTCTCTCACTTCCTTCTTTCCTCAACCTTATTTCTTTTTTTCCTCCCTTCCTTCCTCCCTTCTGTTTTCCTGCTTCCCTCCCTTCCTTTTCCCCTTCCTTCCTTCCTTCCCTTCCTTTCCTTCTTCCTTCTTCTTCTCTTCTCTCCCTTCTCTCCTCCTTCCTTTTCTTCCTCCTTCTCCTTCTTCCTTTCCCTTCCTCTCCCTTCCTTCCTTCCTTTCTTCTTCTCTTCTCCCCCTTTCCCTTCTTTCTCTCCTTCCTCCCCTTTCCTCTCCTTCTTCCTCTCTCTTCCCTCTTCTTTCTCTCCCCTTCCTTCCTTCTCTTCTCTTCCTCCCTCCCTTCATCCTTCCTTCCTTTCTCCTTCCCTCTTCCTTCTCCCTCCCTCTTCCTTCCCCTTCTTTTCCTCTTCTTTCCTCCTCCCTCCTTTCTGTCTTCCTCCCTTCCCTTTTCCTCCCTTCCCTTCCTTCTTCCTCCCCTTCTTCTTCTTCTTCCTTCCTTCTTCTTCCCCCTCCCTTTTCCCTTTCCTTTTTGCCCTTCCTTCCTTCCTTCCTCCCTTCCTTCCTTCCTTCCTTCCTTCCTTCCTTCCTTTCTCCTCCTTCCTTCTTTTCCTCCCCTTTCTCTTTCCTTCCTTTCCCTCCTTTTTTTCCCCTTCTCTCCTTCCTTCCCTCCTCTCTTTCCTTCCTCCTTTCTCTTTTCTCCTTTCCTTTCTCCTTCCCTCCCTTCTTTCCCTTCATGCTTCTGCCCTTCCTTCTGCCAATCACTTCCCCACCAAGACGAGCAGAGGAATTCCCTGAACCAAAGGGAATAACATGTCATGGCCAATTGGAAATTTCGGCACGGTCTGCATCGCTCGGAGCCAACATCTCATTTAAATGGTGTACATTGGTTCAGCGGGACTAATTCTGATCTGCGCCAAATCGGCTCCGCATGCAAAGTACCCAAAAGCTTGGGAATTAAATTCTGAAACTATCTAAAACAAGACCCTCAGACATTTCACAGAGGGAAAGACAAGACATGGAAGCGGATAGGGCGACAATTGATGCCACTAAGGTGCAAAGAGGCTGGATGGCCATCTGCTGGAAGTTGTGCTCCCACAGAAGTTGAGGAAGCAAGAAGCCATCTTGTTCCCTTCTGCTTCAGGATAAGCCTTGTCTTAGAGGGCACTAGAAATCTGAGTAAGTGTTTAAAATTAGCTGCTTTGAGTGTTGATTTGTTTGCTGCTTTGAGTGTTAGCTGCTTTGAGTGTTGCTTTGTTAGAGGGCACTAGAAATCTGAGTAAGTGTTTAAAATTAGCCCTATGAGGAGCGGCTTAAGGAGCTGGGCATGTTTAGCCTGAAGAAAGAGAAGGATGAGAGGAGATATGATAGCCATGTATAAATATGTGACAGGAAGCCACAGGGAGGAGGGAGCAAGCTTGTTTTCTGCTTCCCTGGAGACTAGGACGTGAAGCAATGGCTTCAAACTACAAGAAAGGAGATTCCATCTGAACATGAGGAAGAACTTCCTGACTGTGAGAGCCGTTCAGCAGTGGAACTCTCTGCCGGAGTGTGGTGGAGGCTCCTTCTTTGGAAGCTTTTAAACAGAGGCTGGATGGCCATCTGTCGGGGGTGCTTTTGAATGCAATATTCCTGCTTCTTGGCAGAATGGGGTTGGACTGGATGGCCCAGGAGGTCTCTTCCAACTCTTGATTCTAGGATTCTATGATTCTATGAAGGTTTGCAAAGCCCTTTCTGCTGCAATGTCACACCTGGCGTGGCTCTGCTCGCCTTCTGATTCTAGGATTCTATGATTCTATGATCGGATGGTGCCTTCCTGCCTGAGAAGAGGAACAGGGTGGGACTGGATGGCCTTTGGGGTCCTCCACCCCCCCCAACCAAGGGTTCTATGGTTCTGTTATCATTATTATTATGCAAGGGTTGTATGGCTATCTGTCGAGATGGATCAGATGGTGCTTCTCCTCTCTGGCAGAAAAGGATTGGGCTGGATGGCTCCGGGAATCCATGGTTCCATCATCATCATCATCATCATCATCATCATCATCATTATCATGGTTCTATCATTATCATTATTACTATTATTATATATGGATGGCCATCTGTCAGGAAGGGTTAGATCAGTGTCTCTCAACCTGGGGAGTTGGGCCCCCCGGGGGGGGGGGGTTCACGAGGGGGTTTCAGACCATCAGAAAACACATATTTCTGATGGTCTTAGGAAATTTGGAATTTCTGCAAATTTTAGGATACCTATATCAGTATTTCTCAACCTGGGGGTCGGGACCCCCTGGGGGGTCACGAGGGGGTGTCAGCAGGGTCACCAAAGACCATCAGAAAACACATCAGCGGGATTCTTTTCTGCTGCCCTGGAAACTTGAACTCAATGGAGCCATGGGTTCAAATGGCAGGAAAGGAGATTCCATTGAACATGAGGAAGAACTTCCTGACCATGAGAAGGGCTGTTCAGCAGTGGAACTCTCTGCCTCGGCATCTGGTGGAAGTTCCTTTCTTAGAAGCTTTTAAATAGCAGTTGGAAAGCCATCTGCCAGGCGGGCTTTCCTGGTGCTTTCCTGCATGAAGTCAGAAGGGGGTTGGACTAGATGTCCCATGTGGTCGCTTCCAACACTATGATTCTTTGACTCACCTGCGCAGTCCGGCTCATCCAGCTTCCTTCGTGGATTGGTCCTGGCTGTGGATGAGGCCCCTTTCTCACCCTTGGAAGAAAAGCTGCTGCTGCGATCACCCTTGGACCCTAAAGAGGAGGAAGAGGAAGAGGAGGAGACATGCACAAGAAGTGGAAAAAGGGAGAAATCACCAAAGAAGAATTCAAACAAATAGCCAACACCTGTAGGGAAAAGGTCCGCAAGGCTAAAGCACAAAACGATTAGGACAAGGAACAATGGCTTCACACTACAAGAAAGGAGATTCCTCTGAACATGAGGAAGAACTTCCTGACTGTGAGAGCCGTTCAGCAGTGGAACTCTCTGCCCCGGAGTGTGGTGGAGGCTCCTTCTTTGGAAGCTTTTAAACAGAGGCTGGATGGCCATCTGTTGGGGGTGCTTTGAATGGAATTTTCCTGCTTCTTGGCAGAAAGGATTTTGGACTGGATGGCCCTTGAAGTCTCTTCTATCAGGTTTTACAATGTATTGTAATGTATTATAGTTGAGTCATACACTGCTAATAGGCTTCTATTGGAAATGCTAACTCATGCATTAACTGTATATAGGACATCATTTGGGGAATGTGTTCTGGCCTGGTCCAAATGAGTGTTAATGATGCAATCCTGGGTTTGAGTTAAGTCAATGAGTTGGGAACCAATCAGAGATTGCTATGTGTAAATGTACAGAATTGTATATAAGGAAGTCATGTACAGTGTATTCTCTCTCTCCTTGTGCTGTGATGCTGTTTGCCGAAGGCTCTGTGTAATTTATTAAAGGAACCTGTCTGCTAAGACAAGATATAACTATGTGCTGTGGTAAGTTTGTAGTGTCATCTAGATTGGAGGGCAATGGTAAAACTGACAATAGCCGGGCATGTGCTCAAGTGTCTGTAAAGAGTTCCAGAATGACTGCAGTCTGTGGGAGCAGTTGACTGAAAATACTGTGCAGGAAGAAGCTACTGGAAAGCGCTGAAGTTGTGCAACTGATCTGCTGCTAAATTGTGAGATAAAACACTAACGTCCAACTCTATGATTCTATGAAGGGTCGGATGGTGCTTTCCTGCACAGAAATTTCGGACATTTATGTGGCTTTGATTCAATCCAATTAAACGGGAGTTAATTAGAGTCCGTTCAGCTCTGGGCTTAAAAAGCGAAAAGCGGTGCGATGACAGATTACGGCTTAATCGGACTTAAGATTCTCAAACGTGGCCGGTAAAGCAGCCTTCAGGTCACCATCATCCTCGCCACGACCCTCCGCAGCAGCAAGAGATTTGCAAATCAGCTTTTGCAGCAACGAAACCGGAGGGAAACATTGGGTCGCTTAACTGTAAGCAAAGCAATGCAAATGGGCGAAGGGAAATTGGGCACCTAACCAGGGGCGGCTCGTCCATTAGGCGAAGTAAGTGGTCGCAGAACACTTTTTTTTTGCCAGGGGCGCAGAGGCGCCTCTGTAAATGCCCCTCGACCGCCACTTGAGGAGCGCCCCCTCAGCTCACAACAGCCCTAGCAGTCTGGGGGGAGCCTCGGCTTTCTTGCCTCGCTGCTGGGCGATCCTCTTCCCAAAGGGGCCGGGCCCTTGAGCCTCGCCTAGCCCCTCTCGTTCCTGCTCCACCTGGCCACCGGGTGCGAGCAGAGCCGGCGCTCAATCGTTCTCCGCGTTCGATCCCTTCCCCATGACCGGCTCCCTTTCCCGATCCCCCGGCGCTCCACCCGCCTCCTCTCCTCTCCCCAATCCGCGGGTGGGCCAAGGGGCGGAGCCGCCGCGCCTGCTTCGGGTCCGGAGGCGTGTCTGAAGACCCCAGCGTGCGCACCAAAAGTCGCCTCTTCTCCTGACTTTCTCTTCAGCCATTGGGACCAAGAGAGAGAGAGAGAGAGAGAGAGAGTGCCCCTCCGGCTGGAGGTATCTCCCACCTCCGCTCCCTCCTTTGTTTTTGCGCCTACCTTCAGGAAAGGTGGGCATCTTCACCTCTCTCTCTCTCTCTCTCTTGGTCCCAATGGCTGAGGAGAAAGTCAGGAGAAGAGGTGACTTTTGGTGCACACCTCCGGACCCAAAGCGGGCCAGGCAAGGGAGCAAGTGCGGCAAGTGTAGTTACTGGGATGTATAGTTCACCTACAATCAAAGAGCATTCTGAACTCCACCAATGATGGAATTGAACCAAATATGGCACACAGAACTCCCACGACGAACAGAAAATATATATCAATGATTGGTTGGGGGTGGGGGCAAAATACTGTTTGCTTACCTTTGAGAACAAAGCTACAGAACCTCTCTTGTTGATATACCAGGAATGCCAGGTATACCAGGCACTCACTTGGCATTGCAGGACTCTTCCTTTCCTCGTCCCGGCTGCTGTTGCATCCCTCTCCGGCGGGGACCTGCGCCGGGCCATGGCCATTGGCTAGAGTCTTCCTCCGGCCCCAATGAACCTCCGCCATGAGAGCCGCCTGCATGGCCTCCGCCGCCTGACACAGAAGGAGACGGGAGTGAATGCACCATAATAATAATAGTAATAATAATAATAATAATAATAATTTAATAATAATAATAATAATAATTTAATAATAACAATAATTTAATAATAATAATTTAATAATAATAATAATTAATAATTTAATAATAATAATCTATATAAATAAAAATGTAATGTTTATTTGTGGGATTAACATAACTCAAAAACCACTGGATGAATTGACACCAAATTTGTACACAAGTGCACCTTTCAGGCCAACGAGTGACCATCACTCATAAAAACACAGCAGAAGAGATTTGAAAAGCCAAATAAATGAATAAATACATTACAACGCATACGCAAAACCACATATATACACATATACACAAATATATACATATACAGAATATACACAGACACACATATATACACATAATATATACACACACATATATACACAGACAAAACACATATACACAAATATATACACACAAAACACATATACACAGAATATACACAAACACACATATATACTCATATATACAAATATATACACACATATATGCATATATACACACACAAAACATATACAGAATATACACATAATATATACACACACATATATACACAGACAAAAGACATATACACAAATATATACACACACATACGCATATATTCACACACAAAACACATATATACATAATATACACTAACACACACATATACTCATATACACAAATATATGCATATATACACACACACAAAACACGGACACAGGATATACACAAACACACATATATACACGAATATATACATGCACATATATGCATATATACACACACAAAACATACACAGAATATACACAAACACACATATATACACATAATATATACACACACATATACACATATACACACACACAAAACACGGACACAGAATATACACAAACACATATATATACACGAATATATACACGAATATATACATGCACATATATGCATATATACACACACAAAACATATACAGAATATACACAGACACACATATATACACATAATATATACACACACATATATACACAGACAAAACACATATACACAAATATATACACACACATACGCATATATTCACACACAAAACACATATATACATAATATACACTAACACACACATATACTCATATACACAAATATATGCATATATACACACACACAAAACACGGACACAGGATATACACAAACACACATATATACACGAATATATACATGCACATATATGCATATATACACACACAAAACATACACAGAATATACACAAACACACATATATACACATAATATATACACACACATATACACATATACACACACACAAAACACGGACACAGAATATACACAAACACATATATATACACGAATATATACACGAATATATACATGCACATATATGCATATATACACACACAAAATATACACAGAATTTACACAAACACACATATATACACAGAATATATACACACATATACACATATATACACAGACAAAACACATATACACAAATATATACACACACATACGCATATATTCACACACAAAACACATATACACATAATATACACTAACACACACATATACTCATATACACAAATATATGCATATATACACGCACAAAACACATACACAGAATATACACAAACACACACATATACACATACACACATACACAATACACATATACACAGAAAGGGAGAAGGAAGGAGAGAAGGAGGGAGAAAAAGAGGGAGAGAAGGAGGGAAGGAGAGAAGGAAAGAAAGGTAGAGAAGGAAGGAGATAAGGAAATAAAAAAAGTGAAATAAGGAAGGAATGAGAGAAGGAAGGATGGAACCAAAGAGCAGAGAAAGAGAGGAAAGACACAGGTAGAGAAGGAAGAAAGAAGGAAAAGAAAAAGAGGGAAGGAAGGAGAGAAAGAGAAAGGAGAGAAAGAGGGGGGAAGATTGGCCACAGCAACGCGTGGTGGGTACAGCTAGTAATTTAATAATAATAATTTAATAATAATAATAATAACAACAACAACAATAATTGCAGAGAAACAACTGGAAAAGCTGACACGATATGAGGATTTAAAAATCGAACTGCAAAGACTCCGGCACAAGCCAGTCAAGGGGGTCCCAGTGGTGATTGGCACACTGGGTGCAGTGCCTAAAGACCTTGGCCTGCACTTAAACACAATCAGTACTGACAAGATTGCCATCTGCCATCTGCAGAAGGCCACTCTTTTTCGAAAGGTCAGGAGGGAGGGGGCTGATCTAATATACCTAGGCAGGGAGTTCCACAGCCAAGGGGCCGCCACAGAGAAGGCCCTGTCTCTCGTCCACGCCAAACGTGCTTGCGAAGCAGGTGGGATCGAGAGCAGGGCCTCCTCTGACGATCTCAAGTAAATAGTAAAGGTGGTCCCAATGGTGATCGGCACACTGGGTGCAGTGCCTAAATACCTTGGCCTGCACTTAAACACAATCGGCGCTGACAAGATTACCATCTGCCATCTGCAAAAGGCCACCAAATGCACACATTATTTTCCGATACATCACACAGTCCTAGACACTTGGGAAGTGTCTGACGTGTGATCCAATACAACAGCCAGCAGAGTGTCTGCTGTGGACTCATCTTGTTGTGTTTCAAATAATAATAATAATAATAATAATAATAATAATAATAATGATAATAATATGTTTTAATAATAATAATAATAATAATAATAATAATAATAATGGTAGTAATATGTTTTAATAATAATAATAATAATAATAATAATGGTAGTAATATGTTTTAATAATAATAATAATAATAATAATAATGGTAGTAATATGTTTTAATAATAATAATAATAATAATGGTAGTAATATGTTTTAATAATAATAATAATAATAATGGTAGTAATATGTTTTAATAATAATAATAATAATAATAATAATGGTAGTAATATGTTTTAATAATAATAATAATAATAATAATAATGGTAGTAATATGTTTTAATAATAATAATAATAATAATGGTAGTAATATGTTTTAATAATAATAATAATAATAATAATGGTAGTAATATGTTTTAATAATAATAATAATAATAATGGTAGTAATATGTTTTAATAATAATAATAATAATAATGGTAGTAATATGTTTTAATAATAATAATAATAATAATAATGGTAGTAATATGTTTTAATAATAATAATAATAATAATGGTAGTAATATGTTTTAATAATAATAATAATAATAATGGTAGTAATATGTTTTAATAATAATAATAATAATAATGGTAGTAATATGTTTTAATAATAATAATAATAATAATGGTAGTAATATGTTTTAATAATAATAATAATAATAATGGTAGTAATATGTTTTAATAATAATAATAATAATAATAATAATGGTAGTAATATGTTTTAATAATAATAATAATAATAATGGTAGTAATATGTTTTAATAATAATAATAATAATAATAATGGTAGTAATATGTTTTAATAATAATAATAATAATAATAATAATAATGGTAGTAATATGTTTTAATAATAATAATAATAATAATAATAATGGTAGTAATATGTTTTAATAATAATAATAATAATAATAATGGTAGTAATATGTTTTAATAATAATAATAATAATAATGGTAGTAATATGTTTTAATAATAATAATAATAATAATAATAATAATGGTAGTAATATGTTTTAATAATAATAATAATAATAATGGTAGTAATATGTTTTAATAATAATAATAATAATAATGGTAGTAATATGTTTTAATAATAATAATAATAATAATAATGGTAGTAATATGTTTTAATAATAATAATAATAATAATAATGGTAGTAATATGTTTTAATAATAATAATAATAATAATAATAATAATGGTAGTAATATGTTTTAATAATAATAATAATAATATTTATTTAATACCCCACCACCATCTCCCCAATGGGGACTCGGGGGGGCTTACGTGACGCCAAGCCCAATGGGCAGGTCAAATGGACAAGGTAAAGTCTGACTTGGCCATGGGAAGTCTGACTTGGCCACGGTAGTTCACATTTTGGTTACATCCCGTATAGACTACTGCAACACTCTCTACATGGGGTTGCCTTTGAAGACTGTCTGGAAGCCTCAAATGGTCCAACAGACAGCAGCCAGATTGCGAACAGGAGTGGCGCTCTGTTGCGTCAGCACCACTGGGCACAATTAGCCTATGAAGCCATAAACAGTTCTGGCCCAACTTACCTGTCCGAACGCATCTCCCCTTATGAACCCTCCAGAACTTTATGATCGTCTGGTGAGGCCCTGCTCTCGGTCCTGCCTTTGTCACAAGTACGGCTGGCGGGGGCGAGAGACAGGGCCTTCTCAGTGGTGGCCCCTCGGCCAAAAAAGGATAAACAGTGGGGTTAGACAAGAAGCCATTACGCATTCCCCCCCCCCCCACACACACACACACACATATATGCGGATCTATAATTTACCTCTATGGACTGGTCCCTCCAGCAGGAAATGAGCTTCAAGAGGGAAGGGTCTTCCAGGCGGTTGTCCGAGACCGGGAACACACCTGGAAGCAACAACAGGATCTTCATCAGCTCCCCTCCTTCAAATGGCATTCAAAACAATAACAACAACAGTAATAATTAATATGTCTACCACTCAAGATACTCACCCTCAGCAAGCCCTTGGCAAGGGCTGGGGGGTCCGGGCGGGGGTCCGGGGCGACCTTTGGAGCGCGAGGAGGAGGGTCCCATTTTCTTCGGACTGCATTGACGAGATGTCAAAAACGTGAATTGTACAAGAAGAAAGTTTTGAGGACGGGTTTGAAGTCGAACATGACACCCCCTCCCCCCATAAAAGATAGTAACTTATAGTTTTGCTAAGGACAAGGACACCAGTGGGTATATATTTCTGTATCATGTTTTCTATACTTTCATATTTTCTCCCTTTCCCTGACCCATTGGCCCCATTCCCTTCTCCTTTGGAAAAATGTATAAAAAATATAAGGAAGCTGCCCTGACCCTGGAGAGGAAGCAAGTCCCACAGGGTTCAATTCTGTCCCCGATGTTGTTTAACATCTACATGTTAACATCTACATCCACGCTCTTGTTACATCCAGAATAGACTACTGCAATGCACTCTACATGGGGTTGCCCTTGAAGACTGTTCAGAAACTTCAATTGGTCCAGCAAGCGGCAGCCAGGCTGCTCACTGGGGCGACATACAGAGAGCACACCACCCCTCTGCTGTGTCAGATCCATTGGCTGCCGGTTCAGTTCCAAGCTCAATTCAAGGTGCTGGTTTCGACCTACAAAACCCTGTACGGTTCCGGTCCAGTGTACCAGTCCGAACATATCTCCCTCTACGTCCCACCCCGGAGTTTGAGATCATCTGGGGAGGCCCTGCTCTCGACTCCACCGCTATCCCAAGTGAGGTTGGTGGGGACGAGGAGCAGGGCCTTCTCAGTGGTGGCCCCTCACCTGTGGAACTCGCTCCCAGTGGATATCAGGGCGTCGACATCACTCCTGTCCTTCAGGAGGAAGGTAAAGACATGGTTGTGGGACCAATCTGCTAACTAGGTAAGGACAACCAGACAAATAGGACCGGCAGGACTGATAAATGTGGAAGGAAACTCTGAACTATGAGATAGCGAACATTGACCAGCAATAAGGAGTAATTGGTTTGAATTGGTTTGTATGAAATTTTTATTGGTTTTATTGGTTTTAGCAAGTATAGGTGTAATGTATTGCTGCTGATTGTTAATTTGCGTTATTTTGTTTTACTGCTGTTGTAGGCCATTTAGGACTCGCCAAGCCACATGGACATTTCCTGAGGTCCATAATCCATTCAAGAGTGCATTGTATTCCCTTGTCCTGCCTCCCTCCCTCCTGATTCGCTGGAGCACCTAGGCGTCAGAATGTTACGGGCATCGAATTGTGCCTTGGTTGTGTAAGCCGCCCTGAGTCCCCTTCGGGGTGAGAAGGGCGGGGTAAAAGTAAACCAAATAAAAAATAAATAAATAAATTAGCAATTGAAGAAACCTTTATCAAAAAACATTCCTTGCATGGACTGTAACAAAGGATTGTGCCCCTGGCCTCGGAGGAATTTGACCACCAGGGAAATGATCTCTTGGCAAATCTTGATTATATTACAACAGGGCAAGGGGAAGCCTTCGGAAAGCTTCCCCCTCCTCACCTGTCACCCATTCAACTCTCTCACTGAAGACATCCACTTAAGTTTCCCCCCATTGTTCCTCTGTTTTGGTGTAAAAAGGAAAACCTGGATTATGTTGGTATCGCCAACATCAATGTTTATTTTAATCAATCACCAGACAATAGAAAGGCTTAGTTTGAAGGCCATTTAGGACTCGCCAAGCCGCATGGACATTTCCTGAGTTCCATAATCCATTCAAGAGTGCATTGTATTCCCTTGTCCCGCCTCCCTCCGTCCTAATTCACTGGAGCGCCAAAGCGGCAGAATAATAATAATAATAATAATAATAATAATAATAATAATAACAACACTTTATTTGTACCCCGCTACCATCTCCCCAAGGGACTTGGTGCAGCTTACATGAGGCCAATAATAATAATAATAATAATAATAATAATAATAATACTTTATTTGTACCCCGCTACCATCTCCCCACGTCTTCAATCTCCTCCTAAAGACTGCCAGAGTTGGGGCATGCCTGATGTCCTTAGGAAGTGAGTTCCAGAGTCGAGGGGCCACCACCGAAAAGGCCCTCTCTCTCGTCCCCACCAATCCCGCCTGCGATGCAGGTGGGATCGTGAGCAAGGCAACTCCAGATGATCGAAGGGATCGTGTGGGTTCGTATACAGAGATGCGGTCACGCAGGTAGGCGGGTCCCAAACCGTTCAGGGCTTTGTAGGTACGAACCTGCATCTTGAATTGGCAACCAGTGGAGCTCCTTGAACAGGAGGGTTGACCGGTCCCTGTAAGGAGCCCCAGTTAACAACCTGGCCGCCGCCCGTTGGACCATCTGGAATTTCCGAGCCGTTTTCAAGGGCAGCCCCAAGTAGAGTGCATTACAGTAATCCAGTCTAGAGGTGACTAAGGCATGGTGTGATTCTTATGCAAGGAACACAAAAATACCAATCTTGCCTCTCAAAAAAATGGAGGGGGGGGTTGCGACTATTATGTGATGAAATACAATTAACCTGTCCATTAATGTGCTTCCTCACTGGCTGTTAGGAATTTTGGAAGTTGATATCCAAATACCTGGAGAGCCAAAGTTGGCTCATGCCTGCATTAGACCTTCAAATCTAATTTTAAATTGAAAGGAATGAAGGAAGAAGAGAGGGAATCTGTCTCATATGGTTCTATGGCTCTTATGTGACGAACACAAAAATACCAGCTTTGCTACCCAAAAATGGGGGTGCGACTATTATGTGATGAAATACAATTAACCTGTCCATTAATGTGCTTCCTGACTGGCTGTTAGGAATTTTGGAAGTTGATATCCAAATACCTGTAGAGCCAAAGTTGGCTCATGTCTGCATTAGACCTTCAAATCTAATTTTAAATTGGAAGGAATGAAGGAGGGAAGGAAGAAGAGATGGAATCAGTCTCATATGGTT